TTGTTATAACATTTATACTGATAAAAAAACTTGAATGAGAAGATTGTTAAGAACATGTGTTGGTAGAATATGTCTCACCACTGACACATGGACTTGAATACAAAGAATTAATTATATATGTCTAACTACCCATTTTATTGATGATGATTGGAGGTTGTAAAAAAAGAATTTTGAACTTTTGTTTGATCACTAGTCACAAAGGTGAGGTCATTGGTAAGGCAATTAGTAAATGTTTGGGAGATTGAGGGATCCAAAAGATTTTTTCTATCACTATTGATAATGCTAGTTCAAATGATGTTGCAATAGGACATTTGAAGAAAAAAATTTAATGTTGCTGGAACTAGTATTTTAAAAGGTAGATTTTTTCATATGAGATGCATTGCTCATATTGTTAATCTTGTGGTCTTTGATGGATTGAAGGATATGAATACCTCAACTGCTTATATTAGAAGGGCAATGAGATATGTTAGACAATCCCCTACTAGATTAGCCAAGTTTAAGGAGTGTGCTGCTAGTGTGGGAGTTAAGAGCAAGTGTTTATTGTGTTTGAAGGTGAACACTAGATGGAATTCTACTTTTTTTATGTTGGATACCGCTTTCAAATTTCAAAAGGCTTTTGCATCATTTTAATTATGTGATAATAGTTGCATACTTGAGCTTATAAGGTTGGGAGATGAGGTGCCCGATGATAGAGATTGGACAAATGTTAGGAGAATTTCTTGTTTCTTAAGAGAATTTTATGATTTGACCTTGAGTGTTTCAAGCGCATCTTACATAACTGTTAATTCTTTTTTTGGATTCCATTTCTGATGTGTATACGACTTTGATTGAATGGAAAAATGGTGATGATGTTGATTTACGATCTATAGCAATTAAGAAGAAAGAGAAATTTGACAAGTATTGGGGGAATGTGGACAAAATGAATTTGGTGTTATTTATTGTTGTTATACTTGATATGAGGAAAAAGCTTTTTTATGTTGAATTCACTTTGCTAGATATGTATCCTCCTACTCAAGCTTCAATAATGTTTTCTTTGATTACACAAACAATGGATGAGTTGTTTCATTGTTATAGAAATATATTACAACCTCCAGCTCGTGATGTTGGTGAAAGTGGTCAAGAGTGTCCAACGTGCATGGGTCAAGGCATTAGGTGGTTGTAGTAATAGTGTTGCTTCGACTTTGATTGGCAAGGACACAGAACATACTAAACAAAGATTGGATAGGTTCAATAAGCACCGGTTAAACACTGGATCAAAAGAGCTGAAAACGAAATTGGAGAAATATTTATCTGAGCTTGTGGATGATGAAGGTTTTGATGATGATGAGTTTGACGTTCTCTTGTGGTGGAAACTTAATCAATTTAGGTTTCTTGTACTTGCCGCTATTACTCGTGATGTTTTGGCTGTTCCCATATCAACAGTTGCTTTGGAATCCGCTTTTAGTATCGATGAACGTGTGCTTGATGCATATAGGAGTTCTTTAACTCTTAAGGTCCTGCAAGCACTTATTTGTGCTCAAGATTGGTTACCTGGATTGGCGCGTGGTGATCTAGATTTGATTAAAGATAATTTGGACAACCTTGATAAACTTCATTTTAGTAACTATTTAATTTATTTAAAAATTTTATTTATAATTTAATTTATTAGATTTGTCAAAAATCAATTTACTATATTTGTTATTTTATTTTTTAGAATTGACTAATATTGCATTGGAGACAATAGCTCAGTCTGAGACTGAGTCGAACTAACATTTTCAATTAATGTTATCATTAGGTATTATGCAATATTTATACTACATTTATAATTCATTTAGGTTATCATACCACAAAAATTTATATTAATTATATATTTGCTTTTAACCTTTTTAGGAGCATGTTCTGCAAAATCATTAAAAATTAAAATTAGAGCCTTGGAGATCCATCTTTTGAAAATTAGTAATTTATGTTGTGAAGCTTTAAGTTGTGAAACTCTTCTTTGTTTATTTATTGTATGAAGATTAATGTTAATTTCTTTGTCATCATATTTAATTATAGAACTTTTGAAACTAATATTTATTTATTATATAAAGATTAATGTTTATTTATTGCATGAAGATTAATATTATTAATCATTTTAAAAATAAATAAATAGGTCGAAAAGATTACATATAAATAAAGGGACCTAAAATAACTATTTGTAAGAAATTATATAAAAAAGGCCTACGTCAAACAAAAAAAAACCATTTTGAACAAAAGAAGCCTAACTTAGCCCAAGTCAACCCTAAATTGTCCAAGTCAACTCACTACAAAACCGACCTAAAATTGACTAAACTGAAGCCCCCTAAAACCGATCGAAACTAACCTTTGACACAATGCAGTTCAGTCAATTGGAAAAGTTTAATTTTTTGATCACTTTTACAAAAAATCGAACCAAAAACCGAACCAACTGAAGCTTGCTCTCCCGTACTTAAAACTTAATATTTTTATAGTGAGCAAAAGACCAAAAAGGCTAAACTCAAGTCTAGAACCCTTCAAACTCAAGTAACCCACATGTTAATCAACTGAAGCTCCAAATGACACAAAACTATCACTCCATGTGGCGCAAAATAAGGCAAAAAGGCTTCCTTTTATATATAGTTATAAATATGTGGTTAAATGTTTTGAGAAATATTATTATTAATTTTACCAATTTTCATGCCCATTTTTTATTTTGATCCCACATTAGTGAAATTCAAATGACACTATTACTTTATAATCAACTCCTATTTATCATTTTAACACCCAAATAACTCTCCCAGTGATCACGGAAAATATTTTTTATAAGATGATCCAAACGATAGATAAAGTTTTCGATAGTTTATCCAAACAATAGAAAACATTAAATTTTCCTATAAAATATATTACATTGAAAAATTTTCCCCAATAAGGTATTTTTTAATTACCAAACGGACCCTAAATGACTTCAACGTAACTTTGTTCTTTATTAGCATTCAAGGTCAGCTATATAATCCACTACATTTCCACCAAAAGTTATTTCATTTTGTTTCTTCCGTTAGAAGTTTAGTAACATGATTTAAAGTCAGTTGTATACTCTATTGCATTTCCACCAAAAGTCATTTGTTTTCTTTTCTTCTGCCTCACATTTCTGCTGTTGTAGAAGTTTAGGACAACAATCACAAATACTGTGCGTTAATACCTATTCCATGTTTTTAGCCTATTCTTGTTTTCCTTCGGTTCACTTCCAATTTGAAATTCCTCATCGGATTTTTGCTAGAGTCCCAAGATTTCCTCAACCCGTTAGTGTCATAAGATAGCTCGAAGGAGTGTTATTTAAGATGCATATATTATCGGTATGTATGAGTTCAATACTAGATGGTGATGGTATTAACATATATGTCAGTACTACTGATCCCTTGGAGTCATCAATGGTACTTAAAGATGTTTCCTTAGCTGTCGTCGAAATATCTAATGCACATGCTAGGAGAAACTTTGACAAGGCAAATGAACTTCCTCAAAAATCAACCAAGTAGGATACCAGTTGATAAATCATGAAAACAAAGAGATACTTGCTCGAAAGTATGGACTTCGACTAAGAAGGATCAATGTATCAGAGAATGATATGCCATATCGAAAAAAAGCTAAAGAAGAGTTTATTAAACTGTTTCGTGGGAAGCAATTGACGGTGCTCATCTATGACATGGATCATTATAGTCATTTTGTGGTAGATGTGTATTGTCATGACACTCTTGTGGAAGAAGTAATGTTAAAGAAAAAGCTTGCATGGCATTATGTTGCTTATGATCATCGCCTTGAATTTGCATTTTGGGAAAATGAGGCTTGAGCTAAGAGAATTGGTCTTTAGGCATCAACCATGAGACTAGAAGAAAGACAGATATGAAGGATGATAGCATTGTCTTGGCTAAAGCAAATTATCCTTATTCAGAGTTTGTTGGGGTCCAATCCCATCCAAGAGGACATTAGTTTTTTTTTTCCTTGAAAATGATTCTTTTAAGACCATTAATTACAGTTGAATTTGAGGACAGTAATATTTTGTTGAAAGGAATATTTTCTTAAATTGTATATAAATGTAAAAGAATTTAATTATGTTTGATAGGTTATAGTCTAACGCTGTCATCTACTTCAATAAAGGTTGAAAACATGTGAAAAATAATTTTAGACAAAATAAAAACGTGTGGGTCAAAAATCAAAGATAACCTTTTACTTTAATTTCATACAAATTTTCTGCTAGACTATTTGTGCAGAGTTCTACACCAAAATCTAAGGTTGATAAAGTACTATAAAGTTCATTCATTGTTGCCATGCAAACCATATCTATTGCATATGTATTCTACCCAAAGTTTGTGTCAAAAGTTTGATAGGCACTCACCTTCAAAGCTGGTAAGCAAAAAACATATTCAAGATTTTAGATTTAAATGATAATAATGCCTTTGTATGAAAGAATAAAAGGAAAAAAAAAACTTAAAATCTTTGTACAGAATATAAGGTATAACATGAAAATGGAAATCTTATTTCTCAAAATTTACATGAATTATAGTAAATGATATGGAATATGGGAATTGGACCAATATCGCATTAATTTAAATGTTGGAAGTGTCTAAATTGTACGTATATCACTTCCTCGAAATCCTATCTCATCCTAATTGCATCTTTATCTGATATACTTGTCAAGATAAATAATATTGTCTGAAAATTTATGGTAATAAACTTTCCACATCTTTGTTATTGCATTCGTCATGTTTTAACTGCCAAATGGGCTATAGCAGTTCTGGTTCTACATGAAACTTGAGCTAAAAATTGATAAAATATGAATATGAATTGCAGTATCATCTTTAAATAAACTGAGTAATGACAACTTAACCTATTTTAAGCATTGAAAATATACTGTATCTTGACAAAAGACTCATTTTTCATATTAAAAATCACCTTTTGATTGTAACTCAAAATCCCAAATTAACCTTGTTGGATTTAATTTTATTGTTTGGCACACTTTCAAGCCTCCCTACAAACAAAATACAGCTTACCCATGACATGAAGAATAGCAACTAAAGCGATGAAACTGATGCTTATGAGAAGCACAACATTTGGAGAGATATTGAGGCATGGATCATCATCTATGTAAAACTGGAGCATGGTCCCAATTGCCCTTTCAAGGTTGCACCATTTGTCGTTCTCTTCTTATGCAGGCTCACAACAGCTATTGCACTTCCGCTTGGGAAAGTTGTTCCACTAGCCATTTCTATAACAAACAACACATGTGATTACCTTGATAAGATATTCCTTTCATTCTTCCTTTAAGTTGTTTACAACATCTGGTTCTTTTGGGGTTATAGTTGATGGTTGTTTAGCAATTCCCTCTCCACTACATAACTAGACATGAGAGTTTCTTTTCATCCAACTCCTCACCAAAAACATGAGTAAAAAAAAGATTTTATTCTTAAAATATAAAAGAAATTAATGACTAATGGATTGAATCGTGGAATTCTTTTTTTTGAGATTTTATCGGATTTGTTAGAATTTTGTATATCTTGTTTGGATATATATTAGATATATACAAGTAATTAAACATGGATTTTATTTATAAATAATGTCTAATCTTATTTTTGTTATAATGTTCTAATGAATCTTTATTTTGCTTTATCTTTTTTAATCATATTCATATCGGATCAACAAAAATTTAACAATTTAATAAAATATAAACAAAATTTTTGTGGGCAAATGGTTACTCTTTCAATACCTATTTCAGTTGTCGAGTTAATTCATGACCTCTCATAATTAGAATAAAAAGAAATTAAGTGGTCTTTGGTTTGTTCTACCATCCTACCTAATAAGTTTAAAGAATTTCCACCAATACCAAGACAAAAAGATAGAAATAACAATTTTGCTAAATCAAACATAGATTTTGTTCCTTTTCAAAAAAATTTTGGTTAGCTATAAGTGCTAAGGGGATCAAGCAACTCCATTTACACATTTTGCACCTAATCAATTTTTACTTAACCCTATAGAAAAATATAGTTAAAGCTTTAAAAGGTAAATAAATAAAGAAAAATAATCAAGTAAAAAAAGACTGAAATTTTCTTCATATCTTTATTGTCAAGGTAAAAATATGGTTCCACCATCAACAGTGATACTTAAATGCCTAAAATATAAAAGATAGTGAGAAAAGTCAGAGTTTAACTCTACTGCAACTCTAACAATTAAGTTAATAAAGAGTAGGGAGATAGAGAGAAAGTAGAAAAGAGCATACCCCCTTTATGAAGGCAAGTTTACCATATATTGGAATAAAGTCAAAAAATTTGCCTAACACCCATAGTATATTTTCACCCATTAGATCTTTTTGAGCCCGAGCTACTAGCCTAGATGAAGTGAAAAAAAGTTCAATAGACTCAATGCAAAAAATTGTTGGTGTTTTCCTAATGTTGTTGCTAGTAGAAAATTCTCAAGATAAGTCCATAGGCATGTTAGAAATTGGTTTTATTTATACAAATTATAAATGGGTGAGGTAATATGTTGAATAATAGATTTGAGAAGTAATGGTTGATAAGTATTATTGATTTCTCACATAAGTGCACGTATTGTTAACAAGTAATATAATAAAAAGTAAAGTTCGTTTTCATTAAGAATCAAATTAATCCTTACTTGTTAACTACTAAAATTATAACACGTTAATCTTATCCACACAATTAAAAATTAAATTAAATAAAAATTAATTTTAACAAACTAAAGACTAAAACTAATCTAAAATTAATCAACAAAATTATTTTATTAAATTCGATTGAGTTTTAGACTTAAAATTATAATGTCTTTTAATACTATATTTGATTATTGTCTCTCTCTCTTAACTTAGTTTAATAGATTAAGTTACTAACCTAGAATCCTAAATTATATACAAATCTCTATCCAATTTCTCATAAAATTATTTCTCCTAATTAACGTACTATATGTCTATGCAAAAATGATTTATTAAGTTTGTACTTTAATGCTAGTTACGTATTGCTTATAGGTGTATGTCTATTCTATATGCAAATCAAACTTTTTAATCAACTAAGTGTATTTGATCATACATTATGCTATTCAAAGTCTACCTAAATCTTCTTCGTCAAAGTTTAGCTTAGATTTTCAATTTAATCTTAATTGATGATCAAGCAACTAGAAGTATTAAGAATAAAATAGAGTAACAACTTGAATCCAGAAAACATAAACAAAAGAAATATAAATAAATCAAACTACGTATTGAGTTCAATCATAATCTTAAATAAATAATTTAGTTCTCCATCAAATCACATATCATCATCAAATTAAGTTTAAAGAATAAAATCAAACTAAAAAAATAAAACCCTAGAACTATAATCTTGATCTTCTAAATCTTTTTGAATCCTTCAAATTATTTTCAATTTCAATAACTTTGTAACTTGATTTCCAACTCTTAATCTGGTGTTTTATTTATCTTTAAAAGTCTTCCAAAAGTTTATTTTTTTAAGATTTTAAAGTTAAGTTAAATTGAGTGAAGAAAAAAGTCAATTTTAGTTAGGATTTTCTCATCAGACTACGTGAGCTGCGACATACCTCCATCAAGACCACGGTCTTGATCAATTAATTAACAGAAATCATAATTGCTCTACGACTGTTGCAGTGTTTCAACCTCGACACGATTTTTTGTTATCTTCTAGATCGCACTGGGTGAAGTGGTAAATACGAAAATTATAACTTTTTCTCTCAGCTTTTTAACTGTCTACAAATTATCTCATTTAGAGTTCTGTAGAGAGAGTTATGGTCTAAATACCAATAAATGTGCAGTGAAAACCTACACCTTAAAATTACTTTTCTTTTTTCATTAAAATTCTTCTTTCATTAAACACCTACAAAATCATGACTAAATTAATAACAATCTCTGTTAATTATATTAGCATCAAATTAAGAATAAAAGTAACAAAGATTAGATTAACTCACTTAAATTACTTAATTTAAAATAATTTAAATACAACTTACTAATTTCTATGCATTACCACAATAACAAAACTAAATTATTTCAAAATTAAATTCAAATAACTTTATATCATAAAGTTATCAATAAGCATTCCAAATAAGATATCAAAGTTTAGGATACCTTGACTTCATTACCAAAAATAAGAATTTATTGCGAATATTCTACACTAAGCTTGAAAAAAGATAACGCTCTTACAAACTTTCTTGATCAAAACTAAGTCTCACATGACAACTACAATGACCCTTGATAATTATACAAATCTCTTTGCAATAGAGTAAGAAGTGCAATTACTCTAAAGATAGATAATATATGATATACAATTATTCTCTCTACATGTTTATCACTTACAAACAGAATAATAAATTACAACTATCTTTTTCTTTGAGCTATAACTTAAAGAAATTAACCAAAAACTATATACACTAGCATAGAGATAGGTTAGCACCAAATTTTGCCAAGCACGAACTAGAAAATTTCTTACCTTAAGAATCTTTCAATATGCTACCTCAACTGGACATAGATTGTAGAAAAAAAACCAACTGCTAGCCTTTGTTGTTTCTTAATTAAACCTTGCACAAGCAACAACATTAAGAAGATAACCACATTTGCAAACAACTTCTTCAGCAACCTGGCCTAGTGCATTAGACCTTTGCTTAATTGCTCCCTTTGGTCAACCTATGCTAGCTCGGGCTTTGGGAATTGGGGGCTAGTGTTGTGGGAAAAAATTATACCAAGGGCTTTGTAAAAATTTTTCTATTACTACATATATGGTAAGTTTATCTCCCTAAAGGAGAACTCTCTTTCCACTACTACTAGACTGTCTCTACTTTCACATTATACTATAATCAAAAGTTAGGTCAGAGTCTCTCTCGCCATCCCTTCTTTTGCATATCAATGATTAAGCACCATGATTGATGGTAGAACCACATGTTTACCTCAACATTTATCAATAATATGCCAAAAAATGTTCAAGCTAAATATGATAGCCCATTTGGCCTTGTGCAGAAAACACTTGGGTATATTACCCAGCCATGCTCAGTACTTTGTGATTAGAAATGATTTACAGTAAATTCCTTATGGAGCCAGCAAAAGTTTCCATTTTTTAAACAATTACACAGCATACTAATAAAGTAATATGTGCCCCAGTTCCCATTTCCTTGAAATAAAGCATCAGATTCAGAACCAAAAACAGATGTTTCTAATCCCCAACATACCCAACAAAGCAAACATCTTGTAAATCTCCATAACAAATAGTTAACCACCCCACCCAGAAACAAAATTAAAATTATTCTCTTTCCAACATAAAAAAAAAAGGGAGGAAAAAGCTGTAAAAGGAAAAAGAAAACAAAGTAGTCAATAGAAAAGGCAAAACCAGATTCATGCAGTGTTAGATTTGGTTGAAAAAGAATCGAAATTTCTACAAAACAAGAAAAACCCAGACAGATAAAATGGTTTTAAAGACTAAAAGGCTTCAGTAGAGATCAATAAAAGCAAGTGATTTATAGAGTGGATTAACAATGAACAGCTAAAAAAAGAAACAAACAAAAGGGACTGAAGAACATCAATTGGAAAAGTAAATCGGTATAAGAGGTAAAGGTACCTTCGAAATTGCGGATCTTTAGCTTTGAAGGGTTTGGATCTTGTGTGAGAGAGAAAGACTAGAGCCATTTTAAGGGGGATTATAGTTGGCGATAGAACATATTTGATGGCATTTCTAAAATTTCCACTATGAACATATTAATAAATAAAAATATAATATAATATCAAAAAATTTTATTTTCTAATTTTGATAATTTTTTTAGGTGAAGAGTGACAAGTAAGGAAAAAAAATTATTTTAAAACTTTCAAATTAATAAATTTTAATCCAAAAAAGAAAATGTGTTTGTGTTAAAAACAAGCAATGAGCTATGACAATGTAAAAGAAAAACAAAAATAGAGCATTCCAATTCAAAATACGTACCATAAGGAAAGAGAAGCATTTCCCTTCTTTCCTTTATTAGGAATGAAATATGATTTCTTGATTCACTATCAATTAATTTGAAAATGCTTCATGTATATAATAATTTAATTTAAACAAAATATTTTTTTCAATTTTCGTTCATTTTCGATGTACCGACCCAAACTTAAGGCCGTTATCGGCACAAGGATCTTACAGGTGAAACCCGCCAGAACCAAGCCAACCTCAAAAATTGGACATCGGATTAACAAATATAGCACACAAAATCCATTTGTATGTGTGTGACAAGACTGAAATTTAGATAATATACTTACTCCAAATGTTTGCAACTTATAAAACAATTCATTTACGTATACTTACATGTACAAAACATATATATGTATATATATGCACATTCCTCGCACATTGATACGTAAGTCAATGTGCACGTGCATAAATAAAAACAGAAGTGCTTATATACTGGGCTAAATCCCTCTCAAAATAAGCTAACGGAAATAACCGGCAACACAGTCGCCCACAAAACCAGAAACGTCTGAGACCAGAATCAGCAGAGTGGACACAACAGGTTGGGTGTCCCTATCGGATGCCAAAATCAGCCTACAGAACAGATGCAAGCTACTTGCTTCCAAGCGAAAGTCCCCAAAAGCTATATATATTTGCACAAGGCAACAATTAATTGGGATGAGTCTTTCATAACTCAGTGAGTAGGTGCGGAACTAAACATGCGGAAACGGGAGAGTTTAGTTATTTTTTTTAACCAGAACAAGTATTATCCAAGTCACTGCCCTTACATTTTCTAACCTATTTACCTGAACAGAATCAAAATCATAACCGGTTCATCGAAGCATATGCTGCATGCCAGGCATAACAAATATCAGGTGTATTTTAGAACTATTTCTCATGCCAATTCTCTTAGGTGCTATCAGACATGTGGAAACAGAATAACAGCCTCAGAAGTCCATAAGCAAATAACAGAAGCATACTCACAGAGAAACAGAAATTCACGAGCAGAAATAGAGAACGACAGAATGCTTACCTAAAGCTGATCAGATATCCAGGAATACGATGCTAAGGCTCAAACCTTTCCCCAAGCACCAACATACAGAAAGATTTAATTAAAACATTACCCAAACTTGTCTTTAACTCCTTAACCTTGACAGAATTACGCCTGTAGCTAGCCATTCGAATCATAAGTTAGATGGTAAGTACAACAGATTCTAAGCTCACTTTGGAACTAATTCAAGAGCCCAATCCAAGAGTTTTAAGCAAACAGATCAAACTAGAGTTTAGTTGACAGAAACTCACCTTGAAGGCACATGTGCAAAAAACAAAGGTTTATAGCAGCAAACAGCAACTTATGAATCGAAACAGATTATCAAAAGCTCAGCCACAGAAAAACATAAGCACAGACATACCAAACATGGCAGAGCTTAAAGCTTACTTTAAAACTAGGCCAAACTTCAAGTCAACCAGACTAAGTCAGGATTGCCCAGCGATTTAAACTACGCAAATATGTCTTAGGCATTCATTACAGAGGAAAAAAAAATACAATATGATAAAGCATGCACACCTTAGAAGTGCATGAACATAAAACAGAACTTCATTAAAATAAACAGATACATATTAGAGTAAATAAATGTATATCAGACTCATTCGGTGCCGAACCCACCGATGGAATAACCGGTCTTGTTCGATCATTACAAACTCATCTGGAACCATATTCATCAGACGGAATAGCACACTACACAGACGCGTCCAGCATTATATGGAAAACACGAACAATGTGGTTTATACAGCAGAATAGATTTTTCCAGAAAACCTTTTGAAGGTCTAAAGGATTAGAATGCTGGTTTCCCGTTTTACAGATATATATATTTCAGAAAACCGGACCAATTATCTCAAGTGAGAATCAGATATTTCACAAAACAATTTAACATCAAGACTAGCAGCATCAGAAATGTAATTCATGCTCTGTTTATATATTTATTCGAATAGTTTTCAAAATTAATACCCCACTCACCTTGACTAGAAGTTCTTCAACAACTAGCAATTTGCCAAACCTTGCTCACCAACACTTTTTTTTTTTTGTTTTTTTGTTTTTTTTTTTAGCCTTCCACTCCACCAAAACAGAATAAATCTCAAAACTCCTGTTTTCAGAAAGTTCCAGGATTTCTAAGCATAACTCAGTTTCATTTCTTCACTAACAACTTCCAAACTAAAATCTCAGAATTTCCAACCATCAATATACCTCAAACTCTTACCCTAGTGGCCAACCCAAAGCACCCTAACTCCAAATTGCTTCAGCTTGACCCAATTGTGGCTTGGCTTTGGTGTGTGTTTCTAAGCCTCAAAGTGCCGCTACAATGCCTGAAGATCTCAAGGGAAACTTGGGAGCTCATGGGTAAAAGAAGAAAGCTCAAGTTCTCTTTCAACAAAGCAAGGAGCAGACAGAACAAAGGAGTTTCAAGCCAGCCTCAAAACCACTGTTTTCCTCTCTTTTTTTGGGCCTTCTTGGGCTTCTTTTAATTAAGGGTTCAGCCTTTTTTTTTTATGAAGCTTACGGACCCAGGAGCAAAAATAAATAAATAAAAATAACTTTAGCCCACTTCTCTTAGGCTTTTATTCCCCATCAATCCATTTTGCACACCTATTTTTTTTTCTATTATTATTTTTATTTTTATTTTTTTTAGTATTATTATTATAAATTCTCTCTCACATTTTTTTTTTACAACCAATTGAGGTTAAACCCCTATACACTAAGCTCAAAATTAATTCTCCACATTTTTATTAAGCATATTACTCTATAATGCACGAGTATAAAGAACTAGGATGTTACATTAGATTTTAATCTTTGAAATGTTTTTAATATTTTTATCCGTTCGTTGTATTATTCCGTTAATAACTGAAAAAAATATTCATGCGAAATACTAAAAGCTATTCACATGATATTTTATGTAATTTTACAATGTGGTGAGAATAATTTGATGAAAACATCAAAATAGAATCATTTTAAAATGTTAAGAATTCAAAGATTAAAACCACTAACTTTAGTGTCTTCTACCTTCTTTTTCTTTACACTTTCTCTCTTTATTACTTTTCATCAATACCAGTCACCATCTTCATCTTTATTCTTCTATTTTTTTTTTCGGTATAATCATTTTTTTCCTTTTTTTCATAATTATGTACCTCTTTTATTTTTGAAATTGATAAACATTGAATAAAAAGTAATTTTATTATTATTAAATTAAATTACAGTGTAATATTTTTAATTTTTTTTAATTCCTCGAAGATAAATATAACTTTTCATATTTATAAGCAACAGTAGATTGACAATAACGAATGATCAACATTTTCAAAATAAAAAAGAATAAAATATAATTAAAGAATGTATTGATAAGAATATTTTTGTATTTTACTGTAGAAACATGGGATTTGGATGCAAAGGAGAAATTATGTGTTGGAACAAAATGTGTGTGCATTTTTAATAAATTAAAATAAGATGATAATAATATTTAGAATCTGATAAGATGTAATATGTAGAGTGTGTTTGCTATAAATGCCAAACACATGTTGATTTGCATCTTCAACTACAAACTACACCTTTTATAGTAATCACTTTCTAAATGGACTTTGTGGTGCAATAACATTACCAAATTAGAATTGAGATGAACCCTCATTACTAGGAAGTGAGAAGAAAATGCAAAGCGAAAAGAGCCCTTCACCAAACATTATCCCTAGTCAACATTCAACAAACATTGGGTCATGTGGGATCCCTTTATTATCTCTTGGCCTACTACTTTCCATATATCTTTTTACACGTAAAATAGTAATTGAAAATATATTGACAAGTAACGAAATAACAAAATAAAGAAATATCACACTTCTCTCAACATTTTAGGGCATAAATCCATGTGTTTTTTTTTTCTCTTTTTTCATTGCTCTTAAAAAAAAAAGCGATTTTAATTTTTAATTGAATAAAAGTTTACATCCTGTTTCACAACTAACCCATTTTACAATCTTGATTACCAAAATGCTGCCGGTTTATACACTCCTTCACTATTTTATGAATGTTAATCATTGATTATCGATTAATGATCAGCATCATAGCACCTAAGTCAAGGGCGGTTCAATAATCTCAAAGGCTTAAAACAAAATATTCAAATGAGGCCTTTTGCATTGAAATTAAGAAAAAAAAAATATTAAAATTTTATTATTCTAGTTTTTTGAGATGCAAAATTTCTAATTAAACTTTTATAATCAAATTCTTCTAATTTTTTTAATAATTTTTAATTCATTATTTTTATTACTTGTAAAAAATTTATCTAGTGCTCCTTTTGAGATTGTATTAAACTTTCAATTTTTCTTTTTTAAGCTTTGAATAATCAGAATCATAATTTTTTATTTTACATATTCAAATATTTATTATGAAGTAAAAAAATGTTTAGGTATTAGAATTATCTTATATTTTTAAATGTCTAATATAAAATCAACAATCAAAATTTTTAATTCAAACAAATCAAATATCACATAAAATAAAAACAATATAACAATATAATACAAACTCTAAATTAAAGTAAAAATGTATGCAAAGATTAGAATAATAGTACTTAATTGTTGAATATTTATTGCAAGCCGAAAATGAGGTTCACTACTTTATGAAAATTATAGCATACCAAACTTTCTATGTATTTTTTGAAAGAAAATTGAAATTAAAAGATAAAAGTGCAAATAAGTAAAGAAAAAATTCAAAAATGGATATTATAAATTGAAAAAAAAAATTAATTTTATATATAGGAAAAAATAATTGTTGAAAATGTTAAACACAAGTAATAGTAATTGATTGGAATAAAAGAAATAGGTGAGTAAAAAATAGTGGTTGAAAATTATTAAATAGATATTACTGTTAGTTGATTGAAAATAGGAGAAATAGTTGAGAATTAGCAGTATTGTAAGAACTGAAAACTGATAAACAAAATGGAGATTTATTAAGCATATAATTTGAAAAATGAAAAAATATGTTATTTTATTAATTATTTTTTACTTTTACATATTTTTAATAAAAAATAAAATGATTTAGTTGAGAATTAATAAGAATGTGAACGTAAGAGAAAATAAATATTTATTAGGTATTAGAGAATAAGTAAATATTTTATTAATTACCTTAATTTTTATATAATTAATTATATTATATTATAAAAATATGAGATCTTTTCAAATTTGACGCTTAAAGCTTTTTTTTGAGTAACTTTATTCAAAAGTCGATCTTAAGTTGAGAATTTGATTTATTGATTAATATATGATTTTTTTACTTAAATAGTATAATTTTAATTTTTTAACTTAAAAAGCGAGTCTAAGTCTAAAAAAAATTTAGCATCACACGGTGGATAATATTTGATGCTGGAGGGAATGATTTGAGACTTATCCAAGGCTCAAGAGCAGTGAAGGAGCCGGGAAAGGGGCTTGACCAAAGGAAATTCAGTGGAGCTATCATGTTTTTCACTCACCGATATTCCCATGTTTTACGTCCAACAGCAAGCAAGCGCAGCGTGCCCGTTAAGGTTTTGAAATTGAAAAAAAAAAAAGAGAAAGCAACGCTACTTTTCCAAAGTAGGCTCAACGTCCAACAAGAAAATTACCCTCCCTCCTACAATCACCACGAAATTGACTCTTCCAAGGCCTAAAGTAGAACGCATTATGATATAATTAGCCGCCTAGAATATCGACTTCCTAGGAACTTCAACAGAATAGTCGTTGGAGAAAGTCCACTCAAACAAGGAATGGGCAGGTTCCAAGCACGAAACGAGACACTCCTGGTACATAAAGACAAGACAAAGGTAGGCCAAGCTGACCACGTTTTCTGGCAGCTCCCAATTCGCAGGACAACAGAAATTTCCTCTTTAACAATACAGGAAAGGACCCATTCTTTTCTTTTATTTTTGTAATAATTTTTCTTTCTCTCTTCCCTGGTGGTCTTGCCTGCAGCATACAGGCAACTTCCTAACCGCCTTTCAAAACAGACCAGCTTTGATGCCTTAAAATACCCTTCCCGAACCTCATCATTCCATCAATCCACGCAGACTATTCTTTTCTGTTCCTCTTGAATACCATTCTCTCAACCTGGCCAACAAGCTTTTCGCTGTCTTACACATAGAAGAAAACCAAATAGTTCTTCTTCTTTGTAGTCATAGATTTTACCCTACTATATTGCTTTGGTTCAAATGGAGACATCATCAGCAAACTCTAGCCAGTTTCAATTGGTTGATATGATCTTGTTGTTTCATAGTTTAATATGTTATAATAGCATAAGAAGTTTTTTCTCAAGATATTGGTCTTTTCCACAAACCCAGTATGAACATGGCATCTCAAAGACATCAGGCTGGGAGAACAACCAGACTTTTGAGTGTTTAAACAAGGAAGTTTCATCTGCTGAGAAGAAGAAAGATGAGGGGAGAGTGTACAGACAAGATGTGGAGAAGCTGATGGGAAATCTGGGACTTTTTTGCAACCAAGAAAGTGAGGAGCTAAATGAATCATTTAGTTCTGATGAGCTTTCCAGGCTGTTTGAGGAGGAGCCAAGTTTGGAAGAGGTGAAGCAAGCTTTTGATGTTTTTGATGTGAATAAAGATGGGTTTATTGATGCAGAGGAGTTGCAGAGAGTTCTCTGTATTTTGGGATTGAAGGAAGGCTTGAATCTGGAGAACTGCAATAAAATGATCAAAACCTTTGATGAAGATGGAGATGGCAGAATAGATTTTCAGGAATTTGTAAAATTCATGGAGAGCAGTTTTTGCTGAATCAGTCTTTTTTTTCTTTTTCCTTTAATTTTTTCTGGAAGCTTAATAGATACCATAAGGCCTGATTAATTTTTACCACTATTTCTTGTTAGGTGGTTTTGATATAATTGATATTTCTTTTTCTTTTGTTATAATTGCGGTTATGACTATTATTATCAGATATTGGTATTACTAAGTATCGCCCTATACTAATTTGTGATTGCAATCAAGGTCAGATACTATAAATCTGAGTCAAGTTCTCAGAAAATCAGGAAAAATTTTCGCTCATCCTGTCTAGGAGAAATAGTTTTCGGACATCAGGAATTTATTACCAGGGAAAATTTTGATTCTATTTAAAGGAAACTTAGCAGTATAGAGGTGCGTCCATATAATATAGAAAGAACGTATTCCTGCATATTAATTTTCTCTAAGAAACGCACACTGATGCTAAATGGAGGAAACAACAGAGAAAGAAGATAATCTAATTGAAGACAAACATGGTTCCGTGGTTCAATAAGATTAGAACCCATCCATGCTCATTCTCATCTCAGATTTTTCAGTACTACAAAGTGAAAAGATTGTTAAGTATATATATATATACAAAAATGGAAAAAAGACACTGTTGACTATGGAAACTTGCACCCCCCCTTCTCTGAACTCAATTCTTTCTACAGAGAGCAGAAGGGGAAAATGAAGATGGAGCAAGCAAATGAATGTAGAAGAATTTGATTTTTCCAAGCAAGAATCAAAATCTGTCGACGGTGCCAGTATTCAAACTGTAGGAATTAGGGAACATTTTTCTTTTCATTTAGTCTGGCATATCTGTGGGCTGTTTTCGTTCCCTAGTTCCTGAAATATGGAAACCAGTCTTTGGTTCTTGCATTCATAAATGTTCCTGAACATTTTACATCAACATCTAAAAGGATCGTGCGTTCAGCTTTCAGCAACATGGGCAGGAAGGCATCAGTCAACTGCATATAGACCCTAACATTGGAATTTATAACCTGAAAAGAAGGAACCCATTCATAAGTCCTTTGTAATTATAAATGATAATAAAGGCAAAGATATAATATGTTTCCAGAACATCCATTTAATACTTACATAGTATCCAGGTAAACAGAATGAAGATCGATGATCCCTGGCTGTCTTGGAGAAAAATTTGGTGTGCATGTTTTCTGTGCTCCAGAACATACAATTTTCTTCTACCACCATCAAGAAGCAAACAGTCAATGAACCAATTACCAGTAATCTGCACATGAACAGCATCCATTTTGAAATCTGTGGAAGCGATTTGCATCTCTGACAATGATCATCCTGTTTGTGATCTTTGAAATAAGTTTCACAGCAGAATGGCAGTCTTCACACATTCTAAGGTTTTTAAATACCCAAATAGGTGCCTTCAAGGGAGTTTGCATTAGGCCATATGCAATGGCCAATTTCTCACTGTGATAACTAAGATAGTCTTCCTTTTGCTCCTCCTCCACATCATGCAACACAGAAGCAACATCTGGTACATATCCCAATGGCTTAATCTTAGCTAACAGTTCTTTTACTTTCTCATAGATTTGACTTGACTCTGGGTGTTCACAATCCTCTGAAACAAAAACATGGGTAACATTTCTTATCTCTATCCAGCTCACTCCAGGTTCTTTCTTGATATTTCTCTCTCTCATCAGTTTTCGGATCTTCACTACTTCATCCCACCTCTTTGCTTTTGCATAAATATTAGATAACAGTGCATATGTTCCTACATCATTAGGGTCCATCTCTAACAGTAATCCTGCTATGCGCCTCCCAAAAACATAATTTCGATGGACATGACAAGCACTGAGCAGTGTACGCCATGCAATAACATCTAATTTGACTGGTATAGACCTCAAAAATTTCTCGGCCTCATCAAGTAGTCCAGCCTTGCTCAGGAGTCCAACAACACACGTGTAGTGCTCCAACCCAGGTTCTACTCCAAACTGTCTCATGAATTGGTTCAAGAAGTATAAACCTTCTTTTACTAGACCGAGATGGCTACAAGCAGAGAGAACACCTACAAAAGTAACATAGTTAGGACATTCTCCTACAGCCAACATGTCTTGAAACACAGCCATAGCTTCCTTACCTAGCCCATGATGAGAATACCCACATATCATCACATTCCATGTAATGCTGTCTCGATACATCACTTCTGAAAAAACTTTACTTGCTGCTTCAATGTTGCCACACTTTGCATACATATTAATCAAAGCATTTCCAACAATAACATGGTCCTTAAAACCGGACTTTTCAATCTCTCCATATAGTACATGTCCATGGCTTAGTGCAGACAACCCTGCACTAGAGTTTAACATAACCGCAAAAGTGAATTCATTAGGTGAAATATCATCGAGTTTCATCTCAGAAAACAGATTTAGTGCTTCCTCAAAGCATCCATTTTGGAAGTATGCATCCATGATTGCAGTCCATAAAACCACATTCCGAACTTGCAACCTATCAAAAACTTTCCTAGCATTAAAAGCCTCT